ACACACACACACACACACACACACACACACACACACACACACACAATGAAGGTTTAATTTAAAATGATTAATTTCTTCCTGAAATGTTCAAAGCATCATCATAGCATTTAGAAACACAGACCAGTCAGAAAAAAGTGAAGAATTAAGTCATTTAAAGTCAAACTCTGAGCTGTGTTGTTTTACTGTTTTTTTTTTTTTTACAAACTTTCAAAATTCCTTCAAAGTTTTTACATGTTGTTGGTGAAAATACCAACAAGGAGAAATCTTGTTTATATTAGATGATAATTTCAAATGGATGAGCTCACATTTAATGAACATGAAGGTAGGCCATAGGTACTTTATGAAAAATACTTTATAGCTCATTTTATGAGTAAAATCTGAGGCATTCTTATCTGAAACGCATATCTTAGTTAAAGTTTTAAACTTCTTGTACATTAATCTTTTGTTAGGGTTTAATATTTGAGTTGAGTTTGCGTCAGATACTGACATCCTGAACAAACTAAAGGTCCAAAAATTAAATCTGGTCCAACAACAGGTTGGTCTAATTTCACTTTTTATGATCATTTTAAAGTGGTGTAGGTAAAGGTTCTGAACAATTAATATCTTACCTGTTGTAGATAGATTTTTAAATTCCCTCAGTTTGAGACGTTTACATTGGAGGGAACTGATGAGCTAATGGCTTGTCAGAACGAACCAAAGTTGTCATCTTAAAACAGCTTTATGTAGAAAACTTCACGGTCAGTTTCTCGTTGGATCGTTTTTTACACGAGCTGGAGACGCGTCCTGCAGAAACTTGACAATATTTCTGCTGAAACGACAGAGTAATGTAAAACTGACGACAGTGTGAATGTCTCAAAGACTGTCGATCTGACCTTTGACCTGGAAGTTGATGCCTGAACCAACCTGGCCTGCCGGTTGGTTCCAGCACAAGGTTTAAGCCCCGCCCCTAAACAAACGGACAGAGCTAATGGTAAAATAAAACACCTTGGATCATTTGTATCAGGTGTTGGCCTGTTTATTCCTGTTTCACCTTCCTGCTGTGTGTTCAGACATTTGCTTAAAAGACAGATCATGTGACACCATGATCGTTTACAGGGGAGTAGGCGGGGCTTAAAGCTCCAGCTCCTTAGTGAGCAGACTCTGGAGCCAAAAATCCAACATGGCAGCTCTTCTAAACTGGGTGTTGCTGGCTTCAACTCCCAGTAAAAGGCAAGAACATTTGGTCTGTTTAAATCATCGTTTTACATCAGGAGCAGGTTCAAACAAGGCTAGTTTTACAGACTAGCAGATGAGAAGAAGTTTTCCTGTAGTTTTTTTTGTCTATTCAGCCGTTATTTATACAGGTTAGTCTCAATGAGTCACAAGGACTCATTTACGAGAGGGATCATTTTAATTCATGCTTAAGTTCATTAAAGTTTTATTGTGATAAACCGACCTGAGTACTTTGACATCAGACATCAATGTGAAGTTGACTCATGATTTATAACTATGGAAAAAACTATGTATACATACAATGAATTTTAAATATTTGAAGAGTTCTTAATATATGAATTTTAAGAATATGTGACCATCATTTTAAAAAGTGATTGATATTTTTGAATGTGTAAAAATATTTCACAAATGAAAATTTAATTATTAACTAATTCAAAAATGAGCTTTGCCTGACAGCCCCCCTTATTGCTTCCTGACTCTATGACCCTTTACTGGAGTTGGGGGAAAAAACAATGGGTGACATTTTATTAATGTAAAGACAAAGTCATGAAACATACAGTCTTTAGTTTTATTAGATTTACTTGAGCAGCTAACTTTAATGGAATTCTGAGGCCTTCTAAAAACAAACAGGTTGAAATAGTTGAAAGAAGGCTAATAAGAAACTCCACAATTGACTAAATTGTACATTTGTAATAAAACTGCTGATACTGAAAGTAAGCAAGGACATAAAGTAACGTTATGGCTAATCAGGCTAATGTCATTAGCTAACAAAGAGTTGCATGCTTCAAAATATTTTTTAGTGTAGGCTATTTATTTAGTGTGTACCTCAAAGTGTATAACTAAACATTTTACTTGACATTTGTGGCTCAAACATGTACTTTAGGCTTTTACACACCAGATGTTATCTCATCAACAAACCAGTCTGAGGACATAAAGGAACGTTATGGCTAATCGGACTAACGTCATTAGTTAAAGAGTCGCATGATTCAAAATATTTTTTTGTGTACGTATTTAGTAACTAGCTGTGTAACTTAAGTGTATAACTTGACATTTGTGGCTGAAACTCGTACTTTAGGCTTTTGCACGCCAGATGTTATCCCATCAACAAACCAGTCTCTGTTGATTAAAGGTCAGCTAGTTGTCGGGCTTTAGCTTCTTGTGAGGCTAAAAATGCAACTATATTTCTATTATAAGAAAATACCCATAACTTTCAATGCACGATAAAATGTAACAATATCAATGTTGAGAAAGTTTACCTTTCTTAGTTGCTAATGGCGTTTGTCATTAAAAATTTAGTCTTTGCAATTTGTTCGTTTGCCTGCTCGTGCGTTAGCTTGTTTTATGTTTTCTTCTTGGTTTAGTTCATAGCTTTGATGCTATGTTAGAATAACTGCTGCAGAGTGAAGGCCAGGACAGACATGTAGGAAGTGGTCATCTTTCTACATAAAATAATCTGCTGACCAAAAGACAGAACATTCAGATATTTTAAGAGAATTTGTTATTTCTGTGTGGTCTGGACTCGGCCTGGTGTTTAAGCCCTGGTTTAACCCTTGTATCGTCTTTAGGGGAACAATCTGCCACACTTTAATTTTTGTCTGTGCTTTGATTTATTGCTTTATTTTGGTGCAGTCAATAAATTACTTTTTTTCTGGGAAAATGAAAATTCTACTTTTTAAAAATGTCAGAATTTTTACAAACACTCTCATAACCTCTCTGTAAAGTTACTATTTGAGGTTAGGAGAACTCGTGTTCCTGAGGGGGAAAATCAACCACGTTTGAATTTACTGTAAAAACACATTTAAGTCCATATTTATCATAAAATAAGGCATTCCTCTCGGTCATGTTTTTTTCCTTTTGCTAATTTGTTATTACTACACTTTCTATTTTTATATTAGCTCACTAGGTGGTGCTCCGCTTTTATATTTGTGAGCCTCTGAAAATAATCCACAGACATAGTTCAACAGAAGAGGTCTGTCTGCCCGGCCAGAGACTCTGCAGAGTCCCGTCTCTAATCCCGTCCTACAAAATTGTTTTAGTTTGGATGTAAAGAGCAACAACTCGCTTGTAATATGCACAAGTAAACATTCAGTAGTAAAAAGCTGCTTCACATGCATGCAGGCTGCAGCATCAAACGCTCCACGGCTGACAGCGGCCGACTGCCGTCTGTTTATCCAGAGGCAGCAAGTCAAGCAGCTGGATCATGCATCTGGATCGTGCAGCTCGCTTGTATTTGTTGGTTCAAAATAATTGGAAAAAATGTCCATGTCCAAAGAGCGTGAGACACGAGTAAGTTGAACCAAAACAAGGACTCATTTTCAGCTATGACACCTGAAGGGTCTGGAGGATCTTCACAAAACTCTGGACTGGATTTGATCAAAAAAAATATTTTAGGCTTACTAATGGAGGACTTTTTGTATTTATTTATTAGAAATTGCTGTAAAATTAATATTTTGTGATTTTTTTTTTTTTAACAAAAGACCTTAAAGAGTTAAAATAAGTAATTTAAATTTTGTATCTTTATTTCAGACAAATAGCTCTAAAAGATTGAATATTTTTGTGGAGAAAATTATTTAAAAAATAAGTATTTTAATCAGTTAAATGAGGTGGTGGATTTTTCCCCTCAGGAACATGAATGGTCATAAAGTTAAAGGACAAACGTGTTAAACAACAGGAACTACTATTAAACAGTGAACAGTTTATTTCAAAGTTAAAGTTGATCTGCTAAAAATGGCTTTTTACTTTTCTTGGTGTCATTTCTTGTCAGGTCCACTAGTCCAAAATCTGCTTCTAATATGTCAACACAGTGTCCTAACAAGGATACAAATTAAACTTTGTGTGCAGACCGAAGGGTGGCGCCCACCCACCTGCTGCTGGCCTGGACCCACAGCTCCCCGCTGGAGGAGCAGAAGCTGCTCTCGCTGTTGGAGGACTTGGCCAAGACGTTCCAGCCCCACTGAGGCCAATCGACGAGAGCGTCAACGCCGACACTGAAGGTTTCTGTTGACCTGAGCGCTGACGTTTGAAACATCTGCTCCAGATGAGGAGCAGGGCCTAGGAGCATTAATGTGAAACATGGCGGACGTGAAACGCCTAGCCTTACGATAGACTAAATGTTGCTAAAACAGAAGTATTCAGGTTGCTGTCTAACATTTGTGAGCTTAACGGTTGATGAACTCCATCTTTTACTGTGTGACTTTAATAACGCGTCAATCAGATGGGAATCTGATGAGACCGAAGTCACACCAGTGGTGTGTTCAGGGCCACACTTGTGCTTTGATGCCTTACAAACGTCTTGGCTGATGTGCTGTATGTAACCCGTGTACGTTCTGTTCTGTAGCTTCTGCTCGGTGCAGCTTGAACCCAGACTTCACCGGTTGTGTGTCTCAAACAAACGACATGTGCAACAACTCTACATGTTTCTGATTTAAAATCTGCACGGCACCTTAAAAAAATGTTTACTTCTTGAACTCATCTTGTGAACGTGTGTGAATAAACAGAAAATACTGAATGTTTGTGTGTTGCTATGTGAGATGATTCTACAGGAAAACCAACAGTCAGAATAACATAGGAAATCTTTTTATTAGGAGTCGTCTTCCCTCTGCGCTCCGGTTAGAGGAACACAGATTTATTTCAGCCCTGTTTAATCAACAAAGGTGTTTAAAAATACACTTATTTGAGAATATACATTAAACAATCCTGTTGGAATGGTGAGTAGCTTGTACAAGTTTTCCAGAGGAACAGAATTCAGTTTACAGTCAAACTGGTTGTTTCAAAGAGCGAGGTGACCGCTACATGGGACAAAAACTGGGACAAACCAGTGATAACGCTGCAAAACCCACTGCTTCCTTCCTTCCTGGGCCCTGTGGACAGTCTGATGATCCATTACACGAGCTATTTCTGCTAATTCCACCGTCAATCACATCTGCAGGGACACTCGCAAGAACACGATGAGGAGTGACGCCTGGAAACGGACTCCGACTCCTGATTGTACTGTAGCATCAGTGATCACCCTGCTGATCCGATGGCACTTTGTGACATTTTCATCAGTTTTTTAAGATTCTGAACCAGTTCTGATTCCTGATCAAGCAGTTAATAGACACTAAAGAAGAAAAACTGCATGTCTGCACCGATCATTATCATGACTAACGAGCGTTTGATGCGATGGGAGCCACTACTCAAGACGTTCCTGGACTCTACATCCTCTTTCTGAAAGGTTTCTGAAGTGACGTTCTGTCAATAAATGATCAATCGTTACCTTTCTAGCCATGACGTCACTTAAAGAGCAGGCCTTCCTTCAAGTCAGGCTGAGAGCTAATCAAACAAAGGTCCATCTTTATCAGTTTCAGGCTTATAAAGCAACTCCTTTCCAAAAACAACAACCATGAGCTAACGATAGACATCTACATTTTTGCAGACGGTTGTCCCTGAACCTGCACTTAGTGTTTCACGAGCCACACTGGGGTCCTGACCCAACTTTCAGAACTACTAGTCAAGTCAGGCCAAAGGTTTACTCAACACACGGGCGTTCAGTTGAAACAAAGAGCCACAAACAAATGTATGCAGGTTTAATAATAGTCGATTTAGTGTTCTTTCACACCAGCAAGACCTTTTTGAGAAACTTGTTTAATAATTCTAGAAAAATTGGACACTTGTTTGGCTAGCCTTTAGCCTAGTGTTACAACCCAGCTCAGCCAGGAATAGGGGCGGTAACATTAATGGGGGCTCGTCCGGGATTTGACCTTTCACACCCCAAGCCTGGAAGAAGACTTTTGCACTTTTCGCCACACTCTTAAAACCGATCCGTTACTACTGATAACCGTTTGACCAAACATCACTTCAAAAATGACCGGAATGTCCCTCGGAGCTGATATTAAAGGAAAAATGTGTCTTTTTCAACAATAACCAACAAGTGTCCTGATCACCTCATTGACAGGAGCAACTATCGTTATACCTGTAAGTTGTATCTTGTTTAGTGGCAACAACAGGCTCAATAATGGAGCTTTAATGGTTAGCATGAGGCTACATTTCATTCGCACCCAGAAATATATTCCTTCTCAGAGGCTTGAGTCACAGCTGGGGGGCTATAACTTCATTAGTAACACCCCCGTGGTTTCCTGTCCACTCCCAGTGTTAGCGGCAGCTCTCAGTTAAACCCTAAATTTAATCTGATGTCATGTTATTAAACCATCACCATCCATGTCTGCGTGAGAAACGTCTGCTCATTTCAGCGCTTTCTAATGAAATCCAGATGAGATGGGCACAGAAACTACAGTGAGATAAATATATATATCTTATACAAATATAAATATACACTACACAATCAAAGAGCTGGAATGTGGCTACGTTTCAAAAAAATCATCCCCCTTTACGATAAGGCAAGCGCTCGTCGACGGTTAGATGATTTCAGAAGCTATTTACAGAAGCGCTACACGGAGCGCAGCAACAACTTCCTCAGTGTCTTCACCTGCCAAATAAAACAACGTTTCTACAGACGACTACGATTTGTGCAAACTAGTTCTGCGTGTTGAGAGATGGACGCACAAGAAAAATGAAACTATGGAAGGAGTGAGGAGTCAGGAGCGACCGAGCATGAAGGAACTGGTGACACACTGAAACGCAAAGAGTTCAAACTGGTGAACTGGTGAAACACTGAAACTCAAAGAGTTCAAACTGGTGAAATGGTGAAACACTGAAAGGCTCAAACAGTCTTTAAGGCCTTTAGAGAAACAGGCGGTCCTGATCTGAGCAGAGCTTCCACCACACAGGTCAGAGCCATGTTTGCTCTCGATGCCTCTGTAGTACCTCAATATCTTTCTGCTGGCAGGAAACCCAACTAATCACCACTAAGACCAGTGCTGTCATTTTTCTGAACATTACCCATAAATCTAAGGGAGGTGGGCGTTCAGAGCCTGCATCGTCCCGTTAGCAACGCCTCAAAACAGCAGCGACAGGATGCTGCTGCTATCTGCCCGTTACCACGGCAACCGTTACGTTCCTTGCGCCTGGCTCTGGTTGATGAGCTGGAGGCGGAGCCAGCGCTGATGCATTTACCCACTGACTTTACTGGGGGATTTCCTGCGTTCGTGGCGGAGGCGGCTTCGGCAGTTCCACACGGTGAACAAACAACAGACACGATCCGACCCGCTGACGTCAAACCTCCTGAGAGTGTGTTAAGGCCATGTAGTGTTCAAGAAATCACTTGAAGCTTCTATTTACACAAAGCTGAACAGAATCACCAAGATGCAGTTAGTGGGCCACGCACAAGCAAAACACGATTTCCACAGAACGGCAGGTCACTGAAAACAAACTCAAATTTCACAAAGAAATTTTACAAAAATGAAAATCGACCTTTGTCCAAAAGAAAGAAAAAACATTAAACATCAGTTCAAACCATTCTCACACACCTTGTTGTGCTTAAGGTTTAGTTTCAACTCAAATAGTCTAAATCAGTCACACACACACCCGCACACATACACATACAAACGCACACACACACATGGCCTGGCTTCAGTTGTGGACCCAAGCTTGATGGGGGGGTGGCCTGTACAGAGGGGTTTCCATGACACTGGAAGAGTCAAGGAAGGGGGTGAGGTGGGGGTGGGTTGCCAGGCTGGAGCGAGATGGGTTGCCATGTAGTGGGTTGGGCCAATCAGCGCGGGGAGAAGCCTGTTGCTAAGCTACAGCCAACCACCTGTGTCATATCCCAGATCTGTGGAGACAAACATCATCAGGATCATCAGTCGCTTCACATTTTTACCAAGAAACTTTTTTTTTTCAAATGTGAAGCAAAGTTATTAATAATATCATTAATTTAAAAACACAAACCACATTAAAATACTAAAACTATTGTACATGAGTGCAAAATATCCCCGTTTTGGATTTTTTTTGGGGGGTAGGGGTTACAACCAGTTCTTTAGGGCAGGGGTCTGCAACCTCTTTGATGAAAAGAGCCATTTGCGCCCCGTCCCTCGATAAATAAAATGTGTCCAGAGCAGCGAAACTGTGGTTATCAACTGGTGGCCCATGGGCCACTTCGAGTTTGTTGGAGTGGGGGTAGGGGGTGGGGGTGGGGGGGTTTCTGGCCAGTGGGGGTGACATTATAAACCTAAAATATATAATAAATTTTAACATTAATATTTTTACATTTTATGATTAAAAAAAAAGACTTGAGAAAGAAAGTGTGAAAGCTGAATAAATGAAGCAGCTTAATCTAATCAACATTTCTCTCCATGCATTAGTACAATCATTCCCATTAAATCAAACTAGCCTTTTCTGTTGTGGGTATAGAAACCAGTGAAATTAAATGTCATGTTAGTTTTGGCCAAAGCTTCAGTAGTGGGGGGGACTGAAGAGCCACTGGTTGCAGACCCCTGGTTTAGGGGGTAGTTACTTTTCCACACCCTGCCAGGATGGTTTTCTCCTTGATAAACAAAATCCTTGTGTAAAAACTGCACTTCATGTTTACTCAGGTCATCTCTGGTGTGAACATGTGTTTGATGATATGAAGTCTGTAAGGGGGGAACATTTTCTAAGCCCTGTCTGCTGTGGACTCTGGTCTGGATCAGAACTGGAACTTTTAAATCCATCTTCTAATAGAAATGGTTTTAGCTCCTTTTAGTTTAAGATAGTAAAGCGTCACCGCACGTTTCTTCACTACTAAAACCTAATTATGAGTTCAGTATCTCAGTGCAAGGGAACTTTAGACCAAATGGATGCATTTGAAAACACTGCGTACAGATACTTGTTTATATTGTGACTCAGACGCTGTGAAACATCGTGTGGTTTTGGTCTAACTAAACATGAATGTGTGCAGACTGAAGCTTGGTGCTCCTGACAGCTCTGAGCGTTGGCTCAAAGGCCTCGTGTCTGGACTGGCACTGAAACACACTGATGATCTGCTGTCAAAGAACAGTTGTTGACCTTAACAATGCGGTCGCTTCCACAGGTGACCATCAGGCCTCTGGACGGGTCCATGTCCATGTGGGCGATGTTGTGCTTCCCCTCGTGGAACGTGGCCAGCGCTGTCCGACTGCACCACACAAACACAGTACCAGAAGTTCATCATGGTGTATGCAGTAAAAACAAGCAGTACAACAAAGTCCTCCATCACTGAAGGAGTTTAACAGTGAATGTTTGTAGTTTTAACATGAGTTTATTTGTCCAAGGCCACGTGGTGTGACAGATCCTGGTGAGTGGAGGAGCAGTTTATTTACCATCAGGTGCAATGGCAGAGCCAGGGGGTGGCCAATGGTGGCCTTGGCCCCCCATAGATTAATCTTGGGCCACCCCAAAGATTTGAGGAAAATACACTTTAAAGCAGCATAAAAACTAGAATGCATGGTTTCCTCAAATGACACGGGTGACCGGTTTATATATACAGTTTGTATGGTGGTGGCCATCTTAGATTCTGACGTAGCAACCCAATTTTTGATAAATTATTTTTCTTACACCTAGACGTAGACACATGCAAAAATGGAAGTCGGTACATTGCATCTTTTGCAAGTTTTCCAGCTCACAATGTTAACACAGTGTTTCCCCTACCTTCATCCAAGGAGGGGCCCCACCCTCTCAACAGAACCCAGCATCCTGCCTACGGAATTGACTTTCACCCCCCACCCCACCCACATCAACAAGTGCCAGCACTAACATAGCGCAACTGTCCTCCAACAATTCCACCCCCACCCATCCCGTCGACAAAAATCCCCAAAGACATGAGCGCTCCCTACCAAGGGGGACACACTGTAACATACTATATATACCGTATTTTTTGGCCTATAAGTCGCAGGTTTTTTGCATAATTTAAATGCCATGCAACTTATAGGCCGAAGCAACATATCTATGGACTTTTTCCCCATATTTATAAACCATTTTTTGGCTGAGATATGACCGTTTTCATTCATTCTGATGGAAAAAAAAAAAAAGAGCAGTACCACTTTCAGCCACTAGATGATAGAAGAGTAGTAGTAGTAGTAGTAGAAGTAGTAGTAGTAGAAGTAGTAGTAGTAGCAGTAGTAAGGCATGCCGTTGTATCATGTAATACGTAAATGTGGCTATAATGACAAATTCAAAAAAGTTCAAGACAAAAACAACTGGACTTTATTTATTATTTAGTTCTATTTATTATTATTATTTATTTAGTTCTAGAATGAATTGCGCCGCTCAAGGTGGCTGCATGTTGGAGCAGCTCTGTTACTTTCATTCTGTGATTTTGCTTTTAGAAACTTTAATTCCTCTTTTTCTGGATGTAAATCACATTTTTTGGATGAGTGTTTCCTCTGGTATCAGATGCTGTGCAGCAGGAAGGATTTTTACTGAAACTTTTTTTTAGTTTTGGACATTTGTTATGATGCGTAACCATGGCAACAAGGCAGTTTTCTACAACCAACAGCAGCTGATTAACATCTCAAAAGCTCAAATAATATCTCAACTACAGACCCAAATCTCAAATGAGTTGAAAAGAATGTTCTGTGGACGCATTCTCATCTACCTGCCAGCTG